CTCCAAATCTGAAACTCGATGAAGCAACTCAAATATATAGCATTCGAATAGTGCCGTTAAGGATAGAATTTGACTGGCTTGTTCCAATTGGCCTCAACAGCTCTGTAACTGAGAAGATTGTAACCAAACAAAATTTTATAACCGGTGGAAGCTGAGGGATTCTAACAGCATGAGAACAGTACGGGCCACGTGTCAGTTATGGAAGATAGAATTAATTATGTTTTAAGGTTAAAAGAATTTGTTAATAAATAGGGATACCAGTTGCAAATTAAATTGAGAAAATAATTTGACGATTTAAATTTTCATTTTTCATTATGAAATGTGGAATTGTAATTGCAAATTAGGGAATATTAATGTCAAATTTTTGAATGTGACAAAATTTGGTAATTTATTTTTTTTCAACGTAAAAGATTTAGCACTGTTATTCGCTAATTTAACATATTATTGGTATTAATTTGTACCTTATATTCCTCATTTTTTGATTGAAAATAAATGAAAGTTTAGATTGTAATTTTTTCCTCCCTCTGACTCTGAGATAATTTGCAACTTTATATGAGATTCCTCTTTTTATAATAGGGACATTTTAGTAAATTTATTTATAATCTCAAATTATTAAAGGAACTTTGATCCTAATATGGAATTTCCAAATCTTTTAATATTAATCCCAAACTTTTGATCCTTAAATGTCATTCCCCATGAGTTAATATTATTATGACTGAAATATTCAATTGCTGTTATTATTTATTTGAACTTCATATTTTAAATATAATTTATCAGATAAAAACGAAAGTAGCGCTTTATAAAAATAAACTTAATGTTGTTGATATGAATCTCACTTTTCATATGAATCTCATTCTTCAATACTTATTAAGGGTTTATTTGTTTTTCTATGAAAAAAACAGATTTTATTTGTTTCGTATCGAATACTTTGAGTCTTTTTTTTTTTTTTTTTGGGCCAACCGACTACTTTGAGTCTGATTTTTCCCAAATTACATAAAATGGAATGACACGTTTAAATTAAAATTAAATACAAATATATTATTTTTAAAAAATTTGGACGGCTATAGCCATCACAACGCAATTTCGACACTTTGATTTCCAGGAGCACATTCTAGTGTCAAATATTCTAGGCAAAATTAAACTCCCAGTACTTATAGTTACAATGACTTTTGAATTAGGTACCTATATTATTTTTTTATTAATGCACTCCTTTAGCTTTAAGCCGTTAGTGAAGTTGATCCCCCACCGTTAAAAGCTGCCGAAATACCCTGACAGAGCAGATGACTTGAACATTACTGGGACGCTTGGTATTCAAATGATTGGATGGAGAAGCTGTGATACTCCATCCTCATCCTCACGTTTCTCTTGCGTCATCATCATTTCTTCACCATATATAACTCTGCTCTTTCTTAGCCACCTCTCCAGGGTAAACCAGAGTTGGATTTGTTGCATCCCTTAGGGACAACGCTGGCATAGAAGAGTAGAAGAAGGAGGCTTCATAGGTGGAGTCATAAGACTGTTGCTGTGGTTGTTGAGTCTGGGATTGATCCATCCTCTCCCATTCCTTCTTTATGTGTAGTCTTATATATACATATATACCGACACATACATATATATATATATTTGTTAAATTCTTTGAAGTTTCCTAAACCAAAAGCTCTGTTTTTAGTCCTAGAAACAGAGTTATAATTCGACTTTTAAATCATTAATTCTACTAAGAATATTCCTAAAAAAATACATTTCAATTAAAAATTATATTAAAAATTTTTATTTACTAATTTACTCTTCATCGTACTAAATCATTAATTCTGACTAGAATTTTGTGGAACAACATTTCAAAGTTTTTCTTTCTTTTCCTTAAATTTATTTTTTGCAAATATTTACTTGTTTAATTTTTTTGGGACACAAAACTTCAATAACTTAATTAATGTAGACCTTACAAATTTAATTAATTCTTCAAATAAAATTATAATTAAGTAAATATGTTTATAAATGTTTATAACAAAACTTTTGTTTGAAAATTTTAAATATTAAATTTAAGTTATTTACATAATCTCTCAAACTCACATCATTTATATTATATAATGAAAAAAATGAATTTAAAATATTTTTATCCATCTAATAAAAACCTAAATAAGGATATTTGAATTGATGTGATGGAAAAATGAAAATTATAAAATTTTATAATGTAATCAAAATTAATAAATTTTATGATATATTAGAATATTTGAAAATATATGTATTAAAATAATTTTTGGTTGCATCAAGACGTATTTTTTTAACAAATATAAATGTTTTTCATAAAAATAAATATAAATGTTTAAATAATTCTTATGTGAAGGAAGGGTAGTTTGGTGAAAATAAAAGTTTATGGTCAATTAACAGTTGGATGAATAGAAATGAAATTTCAAATATATAAGAGAGGTTTGTATAAAATATATTTTAATTTTAAGGAAGGTCCATATAAGCATATATATTTTCAAACTATAAGGAAAGTTTCTATAATTTATGTAAAATAGAGGAGTAGTTAGCGTATTTTACTCTTAATCTTAATGTATTCCAGCATTTGAAATTTTTAACATTATGATCGAAAACATTAATTTTAATTTTTTTATTAAAATGAAAATTGTTTAAGTAATATGATACTATATAGTTAGCTCACAAATTTAGGAGTAATTAATGTCAAGAGGTTTCAGCCTAAAAAATTATGCACTGTGCCTAAAGACCAAATTATATATTTGGTCTTTTAACTTTACATAAGATTTTAGTTTGATCCGTTAGCTTTAAATATAAATTTTAAGTTTTTTATTAAAAATGAAAATCGTTTTAAGCAGGACAAAAACCAGACCCAACTGACTGATACAACCAAAAAATCAATGAATCAGGCAGTGGTCCGGTTTGGTTTTGTTGTTAAACCGATATTGAACTGGTCAAACTAGTGTGAATTGGTGAAAACCAGCAAAAACCAATGTGAATCAATTTGGATGATTTTGTTGTTACTAGTCGTATTTTTTTCTGATTCAGCTTTTAATATCGCAGTCACTATAGATTTGAATGAATTTTAATAATAATTTTAATATCAATGATTATTAATTTTAGTTATTGATGAATTTTAAAGATCAAAATAACCAAACTATTATTATATTTCTTTATTTTTTTCCTTTTTTCCTTTTCTTCTTTTTTTTTTAATTTTATTTTTTGACTTGCAATTGTGTACATCATAGGCCATTTCTTTATATTTTGTTATTAGTAATTAATGTTATTATATTTTGTTATTTTTAATTCAATTATATTATTTTCATATGACCGACTTCATTCTGAGTTTACTCCCAATCCGACCAAATGACCCTTGAACTACTACCTCAATTGGTTTATTACCCAGTTCAGTTTCTTGCTCCTTATTTTTAAGTAATATCATAGTATTTAATTAGCTCACAAATTGAGAAGTGACCCTTGTGTTTTAAGCCAACAAGTTATGTGTAATGCCTAAATATTAAAGTATATATTTGTTCATTTAATTTTATATGAAATTTCAGTTTGATTTCGTAACTTCAAAAAGTATATTTTTAATCATTTCACTTTAAAATAGTTAATATTAAATTATGATTTTTTTTGTAATAATTATAATTGTTTTGAAAATTAAACTTAATATTATTACTTTTTTTTTAACAATTTTAAGCTTAAAAGACTAAAAATATACTTTTTTTAATTTGACCTGAAAGGACCAAATTAAAACTTTATATAAAATTAAATGATCAAATGTATATTTTAGCTATCTAATAATTCTTTTATAATTTTCATACTTTTAAAGTGCAAAATTTCTAGTTATTTTACTTTATTTTTTCCGTCTGAAATATTTAATCCATTTTTTTTGCCAGAAAATATTTGATCCATTTAGTCAAAAACAATTTCCCAAACATGATGTTTTTTCCGAATATTTTTAAAATTGGTTATTAATTGAACTTAGGGAGTGTTTGAATTAATCTTTTAAAAGTGATTTACAAGGTGATTTTATTAATGCATAATATTTATTATTTTCAATTAATTTTAACTAATTTTTAATTAGTACTTTTTTTTAAGTGCTTCTAAGAATTTCCAAACTCTCCGCTTAATTGTTTTATAAAGGAGATTATTACTTCATGGATAATATAGTTTCGAACTCTTTAAGAAATACGAGGTAGCATCAATAAAAGTAGACATTATCCATTTTCCACTTAAGAGAAAAAACTAATATATTTTTTATTGGAAATAATTAATATTTATTAGCACAAAAATATGAATTATAATTGATATTTAAAGAATCTTTGGCTGACTTTTTTTATTTTATTTTTTAAACCAGATATCTTGCACATTCTTGTATGAACAGAAATATGTAGCTCATTTGCCATGACTAAGAAATCTTCAAATTCACTACCCTCTGCTCCCATCTACAAGAAACATTTGACCATATTACATAGATAAAAAATTAGTTAAAATTAATTAAAGAAAATAAAAAATGTAAAAATTGTAAGTTTTTTCCCTTAAAAAATACTCTTATTTATGAGGAAAAAAAGTATAGGAGAGAGAATAAGAAAATGAATAAATGGTATTTTAAAAAATGAGATAATAAATATATTGAATATTTAAATAAGTAATTAATGAGAATAAACTAAGAAACTATATTTTGCAAAAGTAGAGATGATAATTGTTTCTTTTAAAAAGTGATGGAGGGAGTATTGGTCCATATATTTCAAACTAAAATAGAAAATAACATTGACCAACAAATGCAGGCGACCATCTAGACACTATATCTAAAAGTGAAAGACCAAATTATTCAGAATTAGAGAGAACTAATGGAGATCTTGTTTGGGAATCATTTTCCACTTCAAAGCAGAAAATCAAATCACAGCCACGTAAGTAACAAAAATCACAAAGCAGATGACACAACAAACTGCCTCAAATATACTACTAACAGGTCATAGTCTTATTGATCTTTTAAAATAACAATCAAACAGCATGAATTAAATTCCAGTTAAAGTTTACTGGCATGGATTAAGGCATGCTTACAAAATTGGAGTATTAACTTTACAAATAAAACATCAAATTCTAATTATTGAGAAGCAAAGTGTAAATATTAGAGACCATGTGATCTATAGCAACAAATTAATTCATATACAAACTAATAAGCTAAGATGAATAGAAAGGCGTGTAGATTTCATGGTCTAGAATCTAGATATCATTGCAGAACTTAAAGAAGGAAAAAGGAAGGGAAAGAAATCACCTTGATATTACAAAGATGATCAGGATTTGAATGAGACCAGAACAGACGTCCGGGGAGTGCTACTCAAGATAAACCAAGAAGTCATTAATCTGTCTGTCATCAGCATCTTCAATTATGAGGGAATTAGATGCCGCGGAACAATGCCAAAGGATTGACAAGCTACAAACAATCAATTGTCTTTAACAGATGCAAACAGTAGCGATGCATTTGTTCCTCCAAAACCAAAAGAATTTGACATTGCTGCTCTCAGTGGCATCTCCTTTGAAGAGGTCAAAGGCATGAAATTCTCATCGAATACAGCATCAGGCTTAGTTAGATTAAGAGTTAATGGCGCAATTCCCTGCCATGATACATCACAGGAGCCATTCTAGTATATTAAGCATACAGGATGGGCTTTATAAAGTGCACAGCAAACACGATCAAGAAAGCTTACATGGTGTACAGCCAAAACTGAAAATATTGCTTCAACAGCTCCGGCAGCACCTAGCAGGTGACCAATAGCCCCCTGAAATTAGGTTTATAAAGACAGTCATGGGCTTGATCAAGCATGCTTCGGAAGAACGATGAATCATTTATATCTATTGTAACATTAATGGAAAATTGTACAAATTAGCATCACCACCCTCATCAGCTATGAGAAAACTTTTGTCCAACTTGTAAAACTCCGATTACTTGGTCAATCAAATAAGATATGCAAATAACTTCTTGGTTATATGGCTTGAAATCTCATATACAGTACCTTTGTGGATGAGAAGGCCAAAGCACCTGAGGTTGCATGGCCAGAGAATATCGTTTTAATAGCATTGGCTTCTATTGCATCACCTGCTTGATAGAATATAGCACTATAATTATTAAAAGCACCAAAATCCAGAGAACTATTCCAAGATCCAAAGGTTCAAGATCAAGTTGCTATGCAGCAACATGTAAAAGTCCAATTAACTTGCCCAGAAGCGTAGATGTGGCATGTGCATTTATGTAATCCACTTCAGAGGAATGAAGACCTGACTGCAATTCAATAAAGAGCAGTTTTAAGAGACAATTTTACATTCCACACCATGTCAGGCACAACACATTCAAACACAAAATTTAGCTCTGAATCATTATGGCAATATTCTATACTAAATGGACATATCAAATTTTCTCAAATAATACACCAAAAATATCAAAATACCCACTTTTGAACACCAATTTTAACAACTATTTTGTCATCCTATATACAAAGAAGAATATAAAGAAGTTCCACATCACATAAATTGTTGGCTGAACTCAAATTATCTTGTCAATTTTTGTCCTTACAAATGCCTCTACTTTGTATCTATGTAACACAACCAATTCATGGAGAAAGAGATGAGAACAGCAGGGCTCACTCAGCTAAAAATGCAGCGCAATTAGATAGCCCATGTAATCACGAAAAGTGAGACAGTTCAGCCAACAACAAACTAAAAGTTAAATAAAAGCTAAAACTTATTATAGGATTAAGGGATACCTGTTTCAAAGCACGTGTCATTGCCAAAATGGCACCGCTCCCATCATTAGGTGGTTGAGTAATATGATATGCATCTCCTGACCAATAACATTATACAGGGAACTCAAAAACTTGGGCCAAAAAAAAAAAGAAATTCCGAAGATTATACCACGGAGTAGTTTCTATATATCATGTAAGAAACTACCTGACATCCCATAGCCACGAACCTCTGCATAAATTTTTGCTCCACGGCTTTTTGCATGCTCAAATTCCTTTCCATTAGGGGAAGCATGCAAATCAAACAATAAATATCAACATTACATAATTAGAAACAATACAGATGAAGGTAAAGGATACATGAAATTTTCTTTTTAACTAACCTCCAAGATCAAGACACCAGCACCTTCACCTATCCTGGAGAAGAGTATGACTTTAGATCATGATGAGAAACAAGGCAAACAAAGAAGCCCATTCAATAATATAAAGGTAAAAATACATGCATAAAATAAATGAATAAAAGGAAACAGCTTTACAGAGTATATATACATACACAAAACCATCTCGGCCACTATCAAAGGGTCGTGAAGCTTCTTGTGGGACTGAGTTATATTTTGTAGTTAATGCCCGAGATCTAAAATTCTTCTCAAACATCAGATGACCCAAAAAAATGGCAATGAAGAAAGCAATAGAAAAGGCAGTTGAAAGAGGAAACAGAGCACCACGCATGATGCAGTATAAAACTATAAATATAACCTGCAAAATCCTGCTATTGATAAAGCATCAATGCTGGCTTCTGTGCCTCCAGCAACCATAACATCTGCATCCCCAAATTGAATCATCCGCAATGCATCGCCAATAGAATGTGCCCCGGTGGCACATGCAGTAACTGATGCATGATTTGGTCCCTATATCCACAAATAAGCAGCTATCTCTATCAACTATTAGTATTAAGATCTGAAAGGTTGTAATGTAAAACATCACACTCATAGGCCTACAACAACAGTCATCTCTTTTGCATCATCTTGCCCAGAACTCGTATTAAGATACTTTAAAACCGTCCAACCAAGAGAGACAATGCCTACGCGAGTACCCAAATATTAAACCTCATTTACATATAATTTACCCATTTACGAATTAGCCATTCACATGAGATAGTTTTATCCAGAACTATAAATCATAAACACAACCTGCACTCATCATGACTGTGTGTGAATTATCAAAAAATAAATATTACTGTTAATTTCTACTGTCAAAAAAATGTGCAAGAGAATCCAAGATTACACTGTCACTCATTGACACAATTATTAATATGAATAAACAAGGAGATGTATAGTGTTACAGCATGCAGATCTAAATTTCCAATATCTTTGCATTTATGCGACATGAATCTTATGTCGTGAACAGCCCCTTCAATGAGCTCAAGAACAGAGACAAAAAGAAGCATTATCTTCATCTTCCTGTGTAAAAAACACCTTGAACTATTATCTATAAAAGCATGTCCTTGAAGAAGAAAGTGCTCAACTATCTAGAAAGTAAACCTCTTTTAAACTCATTAGCATGATGTTTCTGATCTTTATTTTCATCATCTTTTAGGTGTTCTTTTCTCTTTGTTCTTGTCAGCAGTGTCTAGTGTGTACCTGAGGGCAAAAGTAATATTTTATTCTGATAATAATCATGACTTGTCATTGTTCATGAAGCATCTCTTTTGGCATGCATTTAGCATGCCTAGATAGGCATGGTCGTGCTTCATAGAACAGGAACCATAGAAGTGGTAAAAAAATATTTTCAATTCAATCCAACAGATGGTCAACTTGTATACAATAAATAATTGGGATTCTTCCTTTGTTCTTGAAATTCATATGTCCAGATAATATAGCATATGAAGCACATTAAAAGTATGACTCAGCTATTTGAAAAAGAAAAAAAGCACACCTGGAATCCATATTTCATGCTCACATGACCTGATGCCATGTTGATCAGTATCCGTGGAATGAAAAATGGACTAAGCCGACGAATGCGCTGTGTAAGGAACATGGAAAAATTGTTAATATCTACGGGACTTTATTTTGATTCACAATATTTGACTCTCATAACAGGAAGCATTTGGAGCCATCTGAAATAAAGAAATATTCTAATATGGAAGATGTAGAAGAAAGATGAATTCCCCTATCATATTCTAAACAAACTGACCTGCTCACAAATCATTTGTGCAGCATCCAAGATGTCGCTGATGCTTCCAATTCCTCCACCAATAGAGGCCCCCTAATATTAAGTTAAAGAAATAGTACTCACCGTATTGGCAACTAATATGAAAAGGAATTGTTACTCATATATGAACATTGCTTACTGTTCTTTCCCTTTGTTCCTGTTCAGTGGGGAACCAATTGGAATCTTCAAGAGCTTCATCAGCAGCACAGAGTGCATAGGCTATAAACCTCGCAATTGATCTATGCTCCTAAGATAAGTATCAATACTACAATGACGTCAATAAGCAGAATAGAATTTCAGGTCCAGCATGTAGTAGCACAAGCATGCCAACATCACATAGCATAGAAGAAACCTTGTGACTTCAAAAACAAGTTTCCCCAATTTCCTTTGGCATTGCAGATTACTTTTCATGTTAAGAAAGGAAGTTTCTCAGATTACTTTTCATGCTACCAAGGGGTTCACCAGGTTTTACAATTTCATCAGAAGGCTTTTCTTATTCAAAGGAAAATAGCATACAAAATATTTAAGTCCTATCATTGAAAGCATATATTGTAGTGGCTTGTATACAAGCACTCCCAATTTAGGATGTGGAAGACAAAAAATTTGAGCAATCTCATTTCACAAACATCATGCTGTCAAGAGGAAAAGCACTGCGACAGGTTGATGCATATAGCTTCATGTATAGACATCCCAGTCTCTGCATGTGTATATTGGCAAGTTTGTGATTCATATTTAAATATTTATTGTTAAACCTTTAGTAAAGCAGTGGCTTCAGATCAGGATTCAGGACATATACTAGACTACAAATTCTTCCTGAATCTTGATCTGACAGATGTAATTAAGCATTAAGGACGTATTAGGATTATCCATAGCCTGAATGAGCCCCTGAAATTTAATAATTCTACTCTCCAATTTGTTAACTATCACCAAAAGAAACTCTCATATGCGAGTTGGTCAAAACAATTTAAAATCAATTAAAAAAATATAATAAACATACTATATCAAATTGAACATGACAAACACATGAAAACCAAGGCCAGGTACCTTAGAATTGAGCCATATTTCCTCATTAAATTCGCCTGGTTTGGTTCCAGTTGGCACAACTGCAGCAACTTTTGATGTCAACTGTTCGAATGTATTCAACTGGGTTTCCCTATTGAAAGCATTCATCTTGAGATCTTCTAAAGTTAATGCCCTTATCCCACTTTTCCCCTCAAGTAGGTTATTCCATGTTGTTTTAACCCCAGAACCTAGTGGAGTCACCATGCCCAAACCTAAAAATCCAGGAAATTTTAGCATTCCACTGCCACCACAGCAGGAGACCAATTCATTTGAATTTTATTTTGCAAAAGTAGCTGTTTGTTCAACATAAAGTGAACTAGATTGAATGATTCATTGAAATAGAGTGCGCGACAAAAGGAGAAATGAAGCAAACAAACTGTAGAATTAGAAGAATTTCTTCAAAGCTCCAACCCTTAATTTCCAGAACCAACATCCAACTATTAAAGCTTGAGTTAGTAACCTATCATTAACATAAATCCAAGCATATATATGGTAAACACAAATATATTAATGACCTGCAACAATAACATCAACCTCATCACAATTCAGACTAAACTTCCTCAATGAATTTCGTGTCCTAGAGTTTTTCAATAAAGAAGCAGAGCATAAGCAACAAAGAACGTAACCACAAAGAAAAAGGAAAATGATAAACATAAATTGAAAGACATACCAGTAACAACAACTCTTCGAGAAGTGACAATCGGAGGAGGAGCAAAAACTCTACTATTACCCGAAGAAAAGGAAAGCGCCGACACAACCGGATGCCATATGACATGAAGGATCTACGGGAACCAAGCAATGCCATGTTCAACCACAATGCAACACTAGTCTTCCCCAATTATGTCCACTATACTGCACATAATATTAAATTCAGAACAGGAAACACTATAGAAACCTATATAACAACAATGAAATAAATAAACCTGACAATAACAAAAAGCCATAGCACAAAATCGATTAAAACGAGAGAAACTGAAGATGGCGACCAAATATATGAGAAGAAGAGAGAGAGAAAGAAGTCGAGCAACAACAGTGTAATAGCAAAGCATTACCGGCGGCGAGGTGGTTCTACTCAGGTGGCAGGTGACGGTCTTCCTCTCACTCCGGTTCGAGATGAGAGGCGTGATTAATAACCCCGGACTGCTCTGCTATCAAAACATTACCGGCGGTTGACGCCTCGACGGTCTTCCTCTCACTCCGGCTCCACGAGTGGAATCAGCGCCAGGCAGGGCCTTGAAAGGTTGGGCCTGTTTTGTACGAAATCCGCCTAGCTTTGGGCTGTTAAAGGCCTTCATTCTTGCGTGTAAAATGTCCACTTGAAGCCTGTTAAAAGACCCATTCAAAAAACTTACAAACAAGCTAATAGCCCTAGCCCTTTGAACAGTTCGAAAACTCTCCTTCACGGAAAACAAGCCTAGACATTTAAATGAGCCAAAAAACAGGCCATAATTACATAAATAAATTCAAAATTATAATAACACAATCCAAAATTATCTAAAATACAATACACAATTGTCCAAAAAAAAAGCTTTCAAATAACAACGTCAATTCAATGAGTCATTTTAACAAAAGTTTATGCTAAGTTTGAATTAGCGCCTTCAATTGGTAACAGGAATTAGGGGTGAGTAACTTCGATTTTTTATTACATTTTGATTTTTATTTATTAACTATTCGATTTTTTATGTTCGGTTTGATTATTAAAAAAAAGTTAGTTAAAACCCAAAAAGCAAAATAAATATATAATATATTTATATTTAATAAATGTTATTATAATAAATACATATGTAGGTGTAAGTGAGCTCTTTAAATTATTTATATTTAATAAATATGGTTATAATAAATATTATATTAATAAATCACATTGAATAATAAAATATAAATAATTAATGGTTGTAATTTTTTTATTATTATTTTAATTTAAAATCACTTTTCACATTTATATATTCAGTTAACCGAATAACTAAACTAAAATATTTCAGTTAATTCGGTTTCGACTAATTTGGTTAATCACTTTCGGTTTAGTGTTGAAAATTGTCTCTATTCAATTATCAGGTTAATTTGGTTATCACCAAAAACTGAACTGAAAAACCGAATGCTCACCCCTAGCAAAAATCTAGAAAACAAATAATAATTCACCACAAAAAATCCCTGCCAATACTAAGAAGCACCAAAGAAAAAAATATAGCATACACTATAGGAAGGTCAAATAATTAGAATGTACACGGAACCACTATCAACAACTGGTCATAGCCCATTTTCCACTAGTAACATTAATGGTTTAACCAAAAAAAGATGACAAACAAGTAGACCAAGAACAATCACTCAAGTTGTCTCTAAGAATATCAACAACACTAGCCTTTTCATCCAACTAAGGTTCAGAACCCAAATTTTTTGGGACCAACAAAGATGAATAATTACAATGCATGTTGCTAAGAAATCATCAAGGATTAATAATTAATTATCTAAACACATAAACAATACAGTAATTGATACCAATACAGGATTAATAACCATTTATTAAACATTGCAAACACATAATATACAATGGTGATTTCCAGACCATAGTAAGTTGAAAGAAATAATTAGAGAGAGGAGACAGAAACATACCAAGTTAGTTAGTCGGTTCCGAGTCATGATGCTGATAGCTCACACAGTACTGTGACTATTAGAGTCTTCGCTAGAATGGCACAACAAATGCACTAGAGGAGAAGAGACAACCAGAAAGCTTAACAGTTGGGGTGAAGAGAAATGAGTTGAGGTACCTCCTATTTATTAGGTCAGGGTAACCTTTATTTCAGGAAGGTGTAATCTCTCTCATTTATTACAAGATAATTTTCTAATGAGGGTGGACTTGGGCCCAATGTCTAACACCTCCCACTCACACTTGATGAGTTAACTATCGTGCGATTCTCCTATCCTTCTCATTTCATACTTGGTGCTTTCTGATGACCGTGTGGGCATGACATCTTCAACTTTGGATGTTTGCTCACTAGAAACTCGTGAGGTGGAGCTAGTGTACAAGAACATCTCAAGTGTGTTTAGATACTACCTCAAATGCCCCAGATTTACCTTTACACTTTTCTCATGGTATGTCTAATCCCTCTCAACTTGGGTTTATCCAACTTAGATCGCCCACTTGTATATGTAGCATCCACACTTGTAAGCTGCTTAAATTACTTACAAGGGACATGTCACAGATATTAGCATAATTGTGTGATTTCGGGTTAATCTTCCTTTTTGACTAGCCATCACCTAGGTACAACTTTGTTGCTTTCCTGGCATTTGGTCTGCTTGATCGGATCTCTCATGATCATAGGGTGCAAGCCAAGGTAGTAGGCATAGGTTGTCACTTCATGATACTATCTAAGTCTTAAGGACATCATGAAAGGTTTATTCCTTTTAGGGACTTACACTAGAATAGGACAAGGAATCTTCCTACTCCCATCCCAATTATAGTTAATAAAAGAACATGGAGTATGAAATACATGTCATAACATTTGTCTTAATCTATTAAGAACATGTGTCTTTTTTTTTTTTTTTGTCATTGTGCAGACTTTAGTTCTAGGCACACTTAGTGCCTAAATTAAAACTCTTCGCATGATAAATTATGACGTCTTTCATGATGAGTTCTTTGTCTGGCCCACAGGTTTCATGAACTGTGTGACTGTTCATGATTCGACTTGTTCTATGTATAGGTCTCATCTCAAGTCCACTTTAGGCGATGTGTGTGCATTGATACGTCTTAACCGCTCCATAGTTCTTACTACATGGCTGGTGATAATGTAATGTCTCATCTTCTATATTTGTCATGAATGTTTGAAGGCGGTTACTCGTGTGAGAAAGTTAATCTTATCTTATACGACACTATAACCATTGTATACCATTGAATGATTTGAAAAAAGAGTGCCTAACTTTATTAAATGAAACAAGATTCAATACATCAAGTTCTACGAATACCTATAGCCTTTACATGTTTAATGAATGGTTCTCTAGCTGTGGGTTTCGTAAGGGGATCAACTAACATCTTTTGAGTGGAAAGATATTAAACAGAAACTTGTTTCTTAGTAATTATATCTCATACAAAATGATATTTAAAGTATATTTGTTTATTCCTATTGTGATAATTTGGGTCCTTAGCATAAGCTATTACCACTTGGCTATCACAATATATGAGAACCAGTCCTTTGTTTATGTCGTTTACCGCTAATCGCTTCAAGAACCTCTTGAGCCATATAGCTTCTTGACCGGCAACAAAACACGCCATATATTCTGCTTCCATAGAAGATAAAGACACGCATGTTTGCTTCTTACTTCTCCAAGAAATTGCTCTGTTGCCTAGGAGGAATGTGTATCATGAAGGAGAATGGTGCTTATCAGGATCCCCAGCCTAGTCAGCATCGGGGAATCCTTTCGAGCACAAGTTGTTACCGTCATAGCATAACTCGTAGTCCATTGTTCCTTTCAGGTACCTTATGATTCTCTTTATGGCTTCCTAGTGTTTCGGCCTGAGTTTGACTAGAAACAGCTTACAACTTCAACTACAAATCATATGTCCAGTCTTGTACACAGTATTGCATACATCGAACTACTAATTGCACTTGAGTATTGGACTCTTCTCATGCGCTCTATATCAAATTCTTTTGTAGGGTGCATATCTTTAGTTAGATTGTACCCCTTGACAATAGGGGTATCCATAGGTTTACAGTCTCTCATGTTGAATTTGTTCAAGGATTTTAGTTATGTACGTCTTCTAAGATAAAGACAATAACTTGCTTATATGATCCCTCTGTATCTTGACTCCCAAGATATATTTTGTCTCACCCATGTCTTTCATTTCAAAATTCAAAGATAACCAATCTTTGATTGCTTTAACTACTTTCAAACTTGATTCGGCTAGCAATATATCATCGATATATAGGTTCAAGATGACAAAGTCTTTCCCTGACTACTTTATATATACATAACGATCCTCTTCGATCATCTCAAAGTTGAACGAGGTTATTGCTTTGTGAAATTTCATATACCACTGTCTATATAATTGTTTTATTCCATAAATAGACCTTAGGAGCTTACAAACTTTCTCTTCTTTTCTTTTTTCTGTGAAGCCTTACGATTGCTTCATGTAGATCTCTTCATCTAGTTCCATATTCAAGAAAGCGATTTTTACATCCATACGATACAGTTCCAAGTCCAAACTTGCAACTAAAGCCAAGATCATTCTGATTAAGTTAAAATGTATAATAGGCAAAAAGGTACTCTCGCAATCAACCATTTCCCATTGTGGATACCCCTTTGCCACCAGGCATGCTTTGGGTTCATCGATTGACCCATCCGCCTTTCTTTTGTATTTGAGAACCCATTTGCTCCTAATAGCCTTTCAACTGGGCAATAGATCAACCAACTCCCATACCTAGTTGGATTTCATTGAATCCATTTCTTCTTGCATGGCACTCTACCATTTTTCCTTAGTAGGTCCCATCTGTGCCGCTTGAACACTTTTGGGATCTTTCTCATCATCTTCTAGGCTGACGATGAGGGCTGCTCTATTGACTGAAAAACATCTTTATGTGGCTTTGTCTTTTTCACTTCTCTGAAGTGGGGTTTCTTATATAGGATTCTCTTCTCTTCCTGTGCTTATGTTTGGGTAAGGTTTTTTGGTGGTGAAAATATCTCAACCCTCCCACTCAGATCAGTGGACTAAGAAATATTTATTGCTTCCTCCTACTTGTTATTATCATACAGAGATACGGTGTGATTGATGTTCCTTTTGCCAGAAAATTCTGTCTCTAAGAATGTGCCATCCCTTGAAATGATCTCAGTCACTGAGCCATTATCATGTTCACAATAAAGACATACCCTTTTGAATGTTCTGAGTAGCATATGAAAATACACTTCTTGCCTCTTTATCCTAATTTCCCAAACTTATGGGAGAAGTCATGAACATATGCAGCGCATCCCTATTGTCTCAGGGCACTCAGGTCTAGCTTGCGTTTTGTCCATAAATCATAGGGCATTGAGGTGATTGATTTCGAGAGCACATGGTTAAGTATGAAAGTAGCAGTTGAAAGTTCATCTCTCCAATATGAGATTAGTAGTTCTGCTTGAGTCATCATAGACCTAACCATATTAAAAAGAATTCAATTTCTTCTTTTAACAACTCC